AGAAAGAAAGAAAGAAAGAAAGAAAGAAAGAAAGAAAGAAAGAAAGAGGGAGGGAGGGAGGGAGGGAGGAAGGGAGGAAAAACAGAGAGATAGACATGCAAAAATACTATGCAGTGCCCAACTTTTTTATCGTCTACCAACTAAGGACTCCCAAGAGCAGCAGAATACTTCCACGTTTCATCATCTCAATGCATAAATGCATGTGACACAGTCCTATTAGCAGATACATGCGTGATAATAGTTATAACTGAAAAAATGTCTTTAAAAAATTATGTCACCAACTAGTTGTGGCAAGAGTATTTTCCTAAAGAAAAGTGGGGTCAGCAGCACACATTGTTATTATTATTAGCCAGAATTAAGATAACTTTTATTTCTACCTGTACTATTTCAGGCTGTGGGTTTGAAGTTTCATTCCTGTTGTCATCAGCATCATCATTAAACATTTCAATTGCCCTAGAAATTGGAAAAAATCAATAGGAGAAATTAATTAAAAGGAAAAATGCAGTATTCTCCATTAGTACAAAACAGCACTGAACAGCTCATACCATTGTGAAAAGCTGGGAGGCAGAATTTAACCCTAATGTAGGACAGAGAGTCCTTCTCTACTTATTATAATATTTATTATCCTCTAGGATTCTTTTCATGTTAATTCACCTCAACCACTGCATCATCTATGTTATAGTTGAGGCTGTTCTGTAGGACATTGTGTTTTGCAGTGGATAGTGAACCATTGAACATATTCACAACTCATTCCAGTTCAGGTACCTGGTTGCTTGTGGGATTTAGCTTGAACAGTTTAGTTTGGACTTTCATTTTCTTTATTTTTCCAGCTTGTCTTTGGGATGCAGTCTTGATGGTGCCTGTCAGCATTTTAGTGTGTTTGGGGAATATGGTTTGTTCCAGTTGGTTCTTGAGGTTATCTAGAAAATGCTGATGTTTATTTAATCTGAGGTGAGCATTCATGATCATTTTCCTCCTCCTCCTCTTCATCAGCATCATCATGATCATCATCATCACAGGCCTCAAACATAACATAGATGATGCTAATCAGTTATAATTCTTGGCAGCGTTAGAAGCATTTTCTAAGGGCTTTCCATAGGGGCCCAAGAAAACATAAGGCATACAATTATATCACAAACTATAAGGACACAGAATCAGAACCAACTCAAAGCAGAAGACAGAACCTAAAGAAAGACCAAGTCATCATTATCCTCCCAGCAGATAAAGGCCATACTACAGTTATCCTGGACAAAACACAATGTATACAAAAAGCCAAAGAATTACTGGACAACAAAGAAACCTATATTCCAGTTAGAAACAACCAGGAGTGGGTTTCTACCAGTTCACATCTATTCGCTAGAACCGGTTGTTAACATTCTAAGCAGTTCGGAGAACCGGTTGTTAGAAGAAATTACTGGCCTAATCTTGTAAGGAAGGCAGGAAGGAAACATTCCGGTGTTGCTTATAGAAACTGCCTCTCTGTTAACCCTTACTACATTCTTGGCAGGACTAGACTTCCTGTCTCAGGAACTTCTCTAGAGTTTTTGTCCCCTCCTTTGCTGGTACTTTGCTTGTGTAGAGTGGCCATTCAAAGTTACAATGGCACTGAAAAAAGTGTCTTATATCCATTTTTCACACTTATGACTACTGTAATATCCCCAATGTCATGAGAGGCCAGGCGAGGAGGTGCATGCCTCGATGTGAGTGATATAGAGTTGGCCATGCCCAGCCAATAACATGACCACCAAGCCATGTCCACCCAGTCACATGACCACCAAGCCATGCCCACCAACTAAGCCACACCCACAGAACCGGTTGTTAAAAAATTTGAATCCCACCCCTGGAAACAACCCAGTACAGAAACTAGACAACTTGATCAAGATAACCCTGAACAACCTAATCATGAAAGGCCAAATCACAAAAGAAGAACAGTGGCAGATGAAAAGCAGTGGATTCCTCTACCCTGCTTTTATGGATACCAAAAACAAGGCCGACATATCTCTTCATGCAATTGTATCATTATCAGGGACCCCACCATACAACATCACTAAAGAACTGACAAAAAAGTTTCGACATCTTACAGAGGGGAGTAAATATTCTATCAACTCCCAACTACTGTACCTACAGAAAATCAAAGACCTAATAATATAAGAAGAGGAGATCATGGTTTTATTCAATGTCAGAGCACTCTTTATATCCATAAACCCGGAACTATTGAAAAATTTATGGCAGTAGCACCACACACACACGACCTAACCAAATGCACCAAGATCCAACTACTCAAAATGATGGATCTCACCAACCTCTGCCTCACTATCTATTTTCAGTTTCATGGACAAATATACTAGCAAATGAACATCAGTGTGATTACTACTTTTAGGATATACAACAGCGTATGAATCTGGTAGATGGATAACACCTTTGTTATAATAAAAAAACCTTAGGAACAACTAGGGAAGACACATTAAAAAATCAACATCTTCAAAGGAATAAAATTCATAATGGAAGAAAGTATTCTTATAGCAGAGAAAACAGCAGCAAACAAAATTCTATTGTAAAACTACTCATATCAACCAAGTGCTCCACTACAAAAGTAACAACCTAACCTCCTACAAAAGGAGCTATAGAAGAACATTATTCAGACGAGCACAAACACAACCCAGAACACCAGAAAAAGGAAACATACTGTCTATACAACATCTTCCAACAAAATGGACACCCACATAACTTCTTCAAAAGTGTCTGACTACTTAATTCACTGCAGTACAATCAACACAAGCTATGAAAAAGATGTCATTAGTACCATACATCAAAAACATCTCAGAAATAATCAGTTACAACCACGTGGCATCACCATAGCACACAAATCAACTAAAACCCTTCAAAACATCTTAAGTAAACCAAAAGTTCAGTAGCCAAAGAAGAAAAACAGGAAGCATCTACAACATGCAGTGTAAGGGCTATAACAGTCACTACAGTTCAAAGGACAGACAGGCCAAAGACTAGCAGAGTGCACCCATGAATACCAACCAGCAGCCAGAAGACACAATGAAAACTTCTTAATTTCACAACATATAGACAGACTTAACCATAGTTTCATTGGGCAAACTATAAGCATCTAATACCAAGCTGAATCCAAAAATGCTAGGTAATTCTTTGAAGCTTAGCATTCAGGCAAATCAGCCATTAATAGGCACATACAGACAAACAACATTTACACACCATTCAAAAGAGCTAATAATAATACAACCAATTTAAAAAAACTTTAAAAGCCCCTCTTTAAAAACCAGAATAACTTTTTGCCAGCAATCAACACCCAGATAAACAGGGATTAACACCAGGATTAACACCAGACAAACAAACAAGCAGTAAACAACAACCTAATTAAGGAACTAGTTTGAGTTCCTCAAATTCTCAAATTAGCTTGAGTTCCTTAAACTCTCAAACCAGACAGCCAGTTTGGTGTAGTGGTTAAGAGATCAGGCTAGAGAAGGCTGTGAGTTCTAGTCCTGCTTTAGGCACAAAGCCACTTGGATGACTTTGGGCCAGTCACTTTGTCTCGAGCATAGGAAGGAGGCAATGGCAAATCACTACTGAAAAACCATGCCAAGAAAACAACAGAGACCTATCCAGCCAATCTGCAAGAATTGGACACAATTCAACAGTAGGAAAAAGAATAACAAATGTTAAGAATGCAATAAGCTCAAAGCTGTATCCAGAGATTTACAGCACTTTCTCATTGCCCTCCCTTTGATTGGAGCAAACAAAGGCATCTGAGGATGGGAAATTATGGGATAGACCTTCATTCCTTTACTGACAAAAGTAGTAGATCAACATTTCTGGAGGGGTGTGCATTTTTTTACTGTGCACCTAATGTGTGCATTTCTATTTTTGGTGTGCGCCTAATGTACACCTCCACAGCTATAAATAAACATGATTTATTTCAAACCTGCAGAAATGAACAAATAGGCATTCATTCACTTTAAAAATAATAAAACTGAAAATGTCTTATATCGCCCTCCACTTTTCCAAATGAAATTGTACGACTGTGGCTTACATTTGGTCTAACTATAAACATGGCCTTTCAATAAGAAATTGCCATTCATTGGTATCTACAAAATAAAACCAGTCTTTTCCAACTAGCCGCTGATCCAGGCTGCATGATGATAATGGCAATTGTAGTTGTAATATCTATACATCATAGCTTAGGGAAGGTTGCATTAGACTTTGGTGACATCTATAGAATAGCAGGCAACAAGCAAAGACTATAAGTAACTCTTATATTTGTGAGTCCTCACAAACCCTGTCCCAGTGGAGAGCAGATTGGGCTGAAAAGGACTGTGATCTCACATATTGTACCATCTTTCATTCCCATGAAAACTACAGTAGTACTTACAGTACCACAATAGTATTTGGTTAGTTTTTCTGTCCAAAACAAAAAAATACAGAAATTAAAAATGCTAGGCAAGTGAGTGTATGCCCCAAAGAAGAATATAACGATGATAACAACAACAAGAAAAAGTTTGCCACCAATTCAAATGACTTTAATTTATTAGTATACTTGAAATCATGTTCGGGATTTAATATCAAACTTTTTTCAACTGAAGGCAACAAGCTTCTCTGCAAAGAGTCATGTCCTAACAGTGTGTGAGTGAGTCTTGATGCAACCTTCAGATTGAAACATTTCTTGAGGTCAAGGAAAGAAGTATCATTTCCTTGCAGAAGCCAGTCCCAATAGTAAATAACTATTATAAAGTGCTTCAGCCCACCTCTACTAAATCATGAATTGGTGGACATTTAAATTAGGTTTAACAGTTTGCTCTTTACATACATTTTAGTTGATTTACATCAGAAGAATAGTAGCAGAATAGTTAAATAGTATAAAATATTTTGTTCCTTGAACATTGTACATGCAATATAGCACCAACTACCTCTTTCATCACCTTCAATTCCAACATTTCTGTCTCTGTGACTTTGAAAAACATATTATTCTCTGTGTGTAAATTCAGTAAAATTACGGTGGCATTAGTTCTACAGAACCCAATCTGTAGTGCTTGATTTTCTAGTAGCCGCTACCCACAGAGATGAGTGTTGACTCATGGCCTGGATCTTTCAGGTTACAAGAACTTATCTCCCCACCATCACATACCACATTCACAACAGCATTAAGAAATGTCTTTAGTGCATGCTGAGGACAACAAAAACACCGAATACGCACGCATTTCCAATTGAAATTTCAAGGGCATCCAAACTTCGGAAAATCTCACTGTAGCGTTTTTTGTTTTCAGTTCCTTTTACTTGGCTGTTGAGATCTGAAAAAAAGAAAAAGAAATTAAAAAGAAATTTCAACAAGTTCAAGCAATAGGTTATTTAGCACATTATATGGATTTCTACTGATGCAATGGAACTTCCTGTTACTCAGCTCTTCTTCCTGCTGCATTCCTTCATACACCCTAAACCAATTTCAAAATGTCAGCCACATGCTCCAGAACAGATTTGTGGAGTATGCGGCATGCAGAGTTCAGAAGGAGAGGAAATTCAATCTACTGGCAAATGTTATTCCACTAGGGGATGGATGCAAGAAGATCATCAAGGTGGAAGGATGCAACAAGATGGCTTAATCACACATCAAACATCATGGACATGGTTGCCATGAAAAACTGCACAAAGGCCTCATTTTCTTTTTAAACAAAAAGCTGTTGAAACTGATTCGAACGCTTAATATTGGTTGTCCTCCAAACCCTTCTAATGGGCTTAGTGAAAAATCAAATTGGAAATAAAGATGGAAACCATATTTACTGTACATAGCGACTTTGGAACCCAATCAATCAGAATAGAGTTGGAAGGGTCCTTGGAAATCTTCTATTCAAGCCCCTTGCTCAAACAGGAGACTTCCCCAAATCTATATTTCAGATAGGTGGCTATCCAGTCTTTTCTTAAAAAAAAAAAAAAAACCTCTACTCAGAATAAAGAAGACCAGTGTGAAAGAAGGCAGTCCAGGAGTGGCACATGGTATGGCACATGATGCAGTGGGGCCAGCTGATAGCAGCGGGTAGGAGGACAGCCAGATTAGCAGAGATGGAAGAAACATAGCTGGATAGGGGAAGTGGAGGTAACCCCTCACTTTCCAAGAATGGCCTGATCCCGGTGGATCCTCGCCTAACTATTGAGTGGGATTTCTTCAATGATAGCAACTGGGATTGCTGGAACTGCTGTTACTAATTTCAGTGGTCATATGACATTTCTGTTAATGACTGTGTTGTTCAGCAATGAAGTTGACAATCCCAATTAGGATTGTTAAGTGAGGATTACCTGTACTCCAGAGTAACATGATTCTATAATAGTAATACTTATACTACTAGTACACAGTAATACTACATTGGATAGGGAGGAACCACATCTGACTCTCAATCCTACAAAGAATGAATAGTTCTGGATGTTAGGGGCACCTAGATGTGGGGATATTTCTTCTTTTAGACCTTAGATGGGGTAGCACTTACCCACTCAAGACTGGTGTGCAAATCTTCTTGGACTCACAGATCCTGCTTTGTAGACAGGTGGCAATTATGGCGAGGAAGACTTTTGCATAACTTCATTTGGTGCACCAACTACGCCCTTTCCTAGATTGGGAGGCCCTTCAGACAATTACTCACGTGCTCAATTCCATTATTGCATTGGAGTCAACTTGGACTGCCCTTTGAAGACCACCCAGAACCTCCACCTAATCTATAATACAGGGGTGGAGGCCATGATAAGTACAACTCAGAATGCTCATGTGACATCTCAACTTCATGAGCTGTACTGGTTGCCAGTTTACTTCTGAATATGATTCAAGGTGCTGGTTATGACCTATTTCCTGTAGTGTCCACTCATCCAGTTGGGTCCAACAGAGCTAGGATCCTCTGGATTGATCAAGCAATGCCATCTATCTGGACCCTAGAAGCATGCCTTCTCTGTCACAATGTCTGCCCTATGGAATGTGGTTCCCCCTGAGATCTGGGTTCCTACCCTGAAAGCATTCTGAAGGATCTTAAAGTCTTAGCTCTTCTTTCAGGCATTGGTTGAGAGGCTTCCAGACTCCAATCACCCCAAGCTAGAGTGGCTGGAACCTCTTGTTGGTATTTGACATGTTCATGTCGTTGAGTAGATTTTTGTTATGGTGTTAACATTATGTGTTCTTTTTGATTTATTATGTTATTTGGCTTTCATGCTGTGAGCCAGTCAGAATCAACTGGAGTCAGGAGAATATAATATCTGCAAGAAATACCACTTGCCTGCAAGCAAGAACTGGTAGGACCACAAAAAAGACAAAGTAATAGAAAATGAAGAAGCTAAATGCTCTGGGACTTTAAAATTCAAATAGATAAGTATCTTTTTTGATAAGAAAAGCTAAAAAAAAGTATGGATAGTAGACATTGCAATACCTGAGACAGCACAAGAGAAGAAAAAAAAACCTAGAGAAAATTTAAAAAAATTATAAGGATCTGCAAACAGAAGCAGAGTGACAGTGGTAAAAGAAAACAATAGTAAGAGGTAGCCTTGAGTGCAATCCCAAAACATCTGAGCACTACTTGAATATTAACATTGATAAAGTTGCCATCAGTCAATTATAAAAGGCAGTGTTACTTTGAACAGCTTACATCCTGCAGTGTTACCTTTAATATTTTTGTTACAACATCTGCCTATCCCAAGGCATTGGAAAGGACTCGATCGGTGGACAAAAAAAATCAAAACTAGGCTAAACATCTGGCTGACTGTATGACCAACCATAATAATCCTAAAATATCAACTGATATTCAGGCTGCTTTTGAATTCACGTGTGCGCAACATTTGTACCAAACCAGAATAAACTTTGAGGGATGACTAAACCTGCCTATCTAATCAGCTATCAAAACTCAGTTTGCCTCCCAGCTTCTCTCATATTAAGGAGAATGATCAATTGATGTCTTCCATCTCTTAATGACATTTGGTGGAAAGAAAAGGCACGAAACAGGGGGGGAAAATCCATCAGTCTCTTTCCCTAATGAACCCTATAAAATAAGGACTGAAATAGTTGCTGGCATTGTGCCTTTGGCAAGATACTGTAAGACTCTTCACTGAGAAGAGGATATTTTGTGCTGTTGGCTGGTTGACAAATTTTTAAATTGATCATGAGGAAGAACCTGTAATGTCACCAAGTTCAGTTCTCTGAACTGAATGCTTATGCAACTCTAAAATTAAGTTTCCATAAAAGAAAAAATAACCTAAATATAAAGCTATAAAATAGACTTCATCACTTAATACTGTTAATAAACTTACAATCAATGGACATACTGATTAGGAACTCTAGAAGCTGAAGCCCAATACCAAGATAGAGAAGGGACTACAAACGAGTAAACATGAATGCTGAACTTTAGAAATATAAACTTTAAGAGAGCAGCCACACATTTATAACTTGTAAGATGTGAGAAGGCAAAGGCAGATATAGTAGGCCTGGTGAGGCTCAGCATTTAGCTGAGTAAAGTCATATATCAACTGCTTTGAAAATGTCCTGGGTGTTAGAAGCCTACAGATCAAAATCCCACAATTGCTTCTCTTTAAATGATGTTGATCATTTCAATGGAACTTCCCCTGGTAAGTAGAAATAGATATTTTTCTTAAGGTTGCTACAGCAGAAGATAAAAATTGTTGCAGTGTGAGGCAGTAGCCAAAAAATGTAATAGAATTCTTGGTTGTATAATCAAAGGCATAAAATCAAAATAGCATGAAATATTAGTACCATCTTATAACGCTTTAGTAAGACCACATCTGGAATACTGCATTCAGTTTTGGTCACCACATTACAAAAAAAGAGGTTGAGAGTTTGGCAAAACTGCAGAGAAGAGCAACTACGGTGATTAAAGGCCTGGAGACAAAAACATACGAAGAACAGTTGCAGGATTCGGGTATGGCCAGTCTAAAGAAAAGAAGGACTAGAGGTGACATGATAGCAGTGTTCCAATATTTAAGGGGCTTCCACAAAGAAGAGGGGTTCAACTTATTTTCCATAGCACAAGAAGGCAAGACAAGAAGAAACGGATGGAAACTAATCAAGGAGAGAAGCAACCTAGAACTAAGGAGAAAGTTCCTAACAGTGAGGACAATTAACTGGTGGAACAGCTTGCCTTGAGATATTGTAGGTGTTGTGGATTGAGCAATGAGAGACTAGACCAGGGCATGGATGCAACAAGACTTTATTAAAGTAATAAAGGACTGAACGTGTTAGCCCTGCCTGGAGCAGGCTCACAGCGAACAGCGGCTGACCGAACCCTGCAGCTGGCTTTTATAGCCGGCTGTCGAGGGAAGCCAGCCAATGAGGGGCAGCAAACGCCTCCGCAGCATGAACGGACCTGGGTGGGGACTTTGGCAAGTTCCAGGGACATAACACCCCTTCCCCCCAGATGCGAACACGCATAGTCATTTAAATAAGCGGGTGGTCTGTGCTGGCGCCCTGAGCGTCGTAACTCCGGTGAGTTACCAAGTGTCTCAGAGTTCGAGGAAACAGGTAGGGTTGGTGATGGGGTGCAACCTCGCTCGGAGGTCTGCGCTGGTACCGGTGAAGTGCTTCTGGCCGGCGATGTCGTGGCTCCATCAGATGGTTCAGGCGGAGGACCCATCGGGCAGTCCCGGTCTACTGCCTGCTCCCTCGGCTCGGGTGATGGTGGCGAAGAGCCTCTGGAACGGTCTTCGATGAGGGTTTGGTGAGGCACCTGGGGGCTGACCTGTGCCCACGATCCGGCACTGGCGAGGGTACCCTGTCGCTTCCTTAGCTGGTCCAGGTGCCTTCTCCAGATGCGGCCGTCTTCCAGCTGGACTCGGTACGACCTGGGACCGGTGATGGCTACTATCTCTCCTGGAATCCAAAGTGGGTCTCCGGCATAGTTCCTTGCAAAGACATGTTCCTGCAAGACAAAATCTCTGACCCCCGTCATTGAAGCAAGAGGGGTGTCAGGGCAATAGTGAGGGTGGAGCCTATCCAACACAGTTCTCAGGCGTCTACCCATCAGAAGTTCAGCTGGGGATTTGTTGGTGACCATGCAAGGGGTTGAGTGTTGGCTTAGTAAGAAGCGGGAGAGTCTGTGATGCCAGTCTTCTTTGCTGAATCTGGCTAACGCTTCTTTTGTGGATCTAACGGCTCTCTCCGCCAATCCGTTGCTGGCAGGATGAAAGGGGGCCGTGAAGATGTGTCGGATGCCAAGATTAGTGGCAAAGCGGCTGAATTCTGTTGAGGCAAACTGGGGGCCATTATCCGAAACTATGGTATCTGGTAGCCCGTGTGTCACGAATAGGCGGG